CTATTATAAAAATGCGCATTTGACCTCATTCTCACTTGATGGAAAGTGACGACGAGTTCGACGATGGAGCATGCACACGTAAATAATGCCTGTTCACTCTCGCCTTGAAAGGGTCCAAGTTATAACGTTCAGGGAATAAGTCTGCAGGCAGGGAACTCCACTCCATAGTCGCTCGCCATATGAATGTGGACGCTTCCACTTAACGTTACGCTTAACTCTTCGTGTGAATATTTGGAATATCCATAACGTAGAGGTGGAATCCAAACCTACGTCTAGTCCCCCGATAATGGAAAGGGGAAGGCGGAATTAAATCGTGTAATTCCATCGCACACCCTCCGTGATATTTATAGAATATCACGATGTTTTAGTACCTACCATGATTTTGTTAGATGCGTACGTCTGGCGCATCCTAGACAACAATAGGCAAGTACGTTACGTCGATTGGCAAATCCTTTCACCACGATAGCAAGCATTATGGTGTATGCCATCAATACGATAACAAGAAGATAACCGTGGCTTTCATGTTTTTTTAACCGATTTCAAAAAAAGGAGGCTCTCAATTCGACTGTATGTTTTTTTGTATGTATGTTACGCGATAACTCAGCATTTGTGAACCGATTTTGATGATTCTTTTTTATTGGAAAGAGGATACAGTCAAAAGCACATCAAGCTTGACATTTTGTACTTTGGACCGTTCTTATCGTAAGCGGCATAAATTTGGATTTAAGTCTTACGAGTATGGGTCTAGTTTGACGTACTCTTGACCCTGTACCTCAGTAGTGGTCCCATTTAAATTTGAAGAAAATATTCCACCTCAAGGGGTGGCAAACTAGGTGAATGACTATTGAGGTCGATTTTTTTTTGTAAAAATATTCCATTGCGTTGTTGTTTAACAGATATAAAAATCGAACACAAAAACAATTTTTCGATCTTATTGTACTAGAACAAGTGTTTCTTGTTCTGAACTTTTCTGGGACGATAGATACATTTGGGAGAAAATATCATTTTCAAATACGTCGAGTTGAACATTGAAAATTTAGGCGGACAATTCCTGGATTTTGTTTCGCTTAATGTACATAAGTACACCTAGTATAAACTAGAAGATTTCCTAATTTTATACATACATGTTTACACCTATAAGTGTATAATATTGTTCATTACCAAGATTTTCTTATAATACCTAGTGACGGGACGAACAAGACGTTGGTCTGATGGTAAGCGACACGCCTATCCATACAGAACATAACAGTTGCAGTGTCATTCAGAACTTTAAATTGCAAAAAAGTTATTGGCACTGCCACAGCGCCCGTCACCCTGAGACATAAGTTGACAATACCCATGTGCTTGTAATTTTACCAGCACCCTTACCCTTCTCAACCGGAACGCAATAATGCTCACATTGCTGCTTGGCGCCAAAAACAGGCACGATGCAATAATGCCTTGGAAGAACTCTTTCACGTATGAAGGAAAATTTACTTAAGTTTCAAGTATAATGCACAAGGAGTGTATACATATAATAGAATGTATATTGTATAATAAAATAAACAAAATAGTTATATATTTTTACTTTACAATTAAAGAACTTATCTTTTATATTTAAAATAATAATCCGATAACTATGTTTATTTAGAAATACTTGTTAATTTCAAATCTAGTTCGTTTTCATTTAAAATTCATTTTAAGACTTAAACTACGATCATTTCAGTAGGCAAATTACATTCTAAATTGTCATGCATGGTTTATCTCTATGTCCGTAAACGAAGAAGAGCACTAAAAGGTTACTATTTTGAATGTTAAATAGAATTTAAATGAAGTTAGTTTGATTGTATGTCTCTAGTTGTTTTTTCTAAACCTTTTTGGAAAATATCCAAGGGCCTCCAGAACAGCAGATTAGCTAGCGTTCACTGATGTCTCGAATAGATTTCGTCTCGCTTCAACGCACATTTTTCAAAGTACAGCAATAGCCAACAACGGAAATGTTCCTTAACAGAATTTACGACGCAAAAAATCGATAAAACTTTTTTATTGCTATTCACTAAGTAAGCATAGTATGAGACTGATTGGAGTGTTATGTACATGCCTGTTTGATTGCATGATTTGCTGCAGCATTTGATTTTCATTTATTACAATAAGCGACACCAAATCAACTTTAACTTGTTCGAAGTTTTGCTAGGTGATGCCACAATCTATTAGGTTTCAAGTATACTAATGTTTTTAGCACATAGGGATTTAGTTATATTTTAACAGTCAAGTTGTTAAGTTTATTCATTCAAAATTGAAGTAGTTGGGTTTGTTACAGCTCATATTTATTTCAAATGGGATTGAGACTTGCGGAGGCAAAAATAAAATTACAATGACAACACAGAACAGTAATGTAAGTATGACAGGGTAAGCTAATGTAAACAGATGGTCTTATTGATACGTAGCAATTTCTTCCAGGCAACCTTAGGATAGAAATTTAAGAGTTGGAAAGGGGGGTGCAGCCAAAGAATATCTTGTAATGAAAGCGTTTTAAATAAATACACATATTATGAAAACGTATACATAAATATTAATATATAATAATAAGGTTGCTTATATACTTTTGTAGGACAATAAAATTAATTATAAATATTAATAGTAATAAATAAATTAACAAAGGAATTTGATGGCTACACCGTCTACTTACCCATTTATCATATCCTTACTTTAATTTCTGTTAGTCGTTGGTATAACAATGATCCTACTTCATTCTATAAACAGTAGCTCACGAAAACAATTGATGGCGTCATTCAGATTAGTAATTTAGAAATTACAAGTAACTACCGTCACAAGTTTTTTCATGACTCACTTTGAATATGTGTTTCTGCCATTCACCAGGTACATAATTTAACGTGACGGAATTAACTATTAGTGACGAATCCTGATTGCTAAGTAAGTATAGATTTGAGGGGTGTCAAAGAATTACGGAACTGACGATAAGGAAGATTTAGGAATGTAGGTCTCTGCACAATAATAATAATAATAATAATAGGCGGTTGGATTTTTGTGGCGTGTCGCTTCCAGCACAAATGCAGAAGGCGGTCCTGCTCGATACGGCACGTATTGTTCGCCGATTCTTGGACCTGGGTCCCTGACCCCGGCCGACTGTGCCATTGCCGGGAAATATAAGCCTCTCCCTTTTATAAATTCAAAATTAATCGTTTAGGCCTTGGGAGAGGCGAGAGTTTAAAATAAATATAATAATAATAATAATAATACTTTTTATTTGATGACGACAATGAAGCAAGACAAATTGTAATATCATGTTTGACCCCATAGAAGATGATAAGCGTTGTTACAGTGACTAATATGCAGGCATTGTTATGTGATAGTGTAATCGGGTCGATCTCAACGGCCAGCGCAGCAGCGGCGGGCTCGCTCTACCTTGCGGAGCGCGCCCTCGTGACCCAAATTTTCGCAATGACGTCATCCAGCAGCCAGCATGTGGGTCAGCCGGCCTGACTACAAGTTACCCTACCGCGCGTCAATATCGTACCACTCGTTATACAGAGCTATTATCTGATATCAAAAAACAAGACCTGTCTGCCGCCTCATTAGGTTTTTGAAAGTACGCAACATTGTTATTGTGGTACTTACTATTCATGTACGATAAATGTTCTTGACTGCGCCACTATTATTGCTCCATATCGACTAGGAGCTCCGCGATGATAAGTTAACAGTCTACTGGATATATATATCGTTATATTTTTGGAGACTTACAAATGTTTTGAGGTTAAGATACGTATTATATTATATATTTCCCCAGCCTGCAATTACTTAACCATTCAATTAGACGGCTTGTCGACAACACAAATAAATTTATAAGATGCGCGAGCAATACGTAAGTAAGATGAAATTATACAAACTATCGAAATTGTTTGTTGAAAATTCTATCTTACTTCACTCACATAGCGTTCTGCAGTTTAAAAAGTAAGACAATTTAATTTGCTTGAATATATTTTTACGGCGGATCTTGTATCGATACGTTCGGACAACTTTTAAGTTTCTTATAAATACCTACAGATAGAATTTGCTTAGAAACTATATGCTTCTGACGTTGCAGCAGACAGGTTTTAACCGTATAATCGGCGATTCGATGCGCAAGCAAGTAGGTGGAGATGATCTTTGAATACTACGTCACAAGCCGAACGAAAGTTTCGTAGAACCCGACTCCCCTTTCTAACCCTTATAAATACATTCCAATGGAACTCGTAACATATGTGAACTTTGATTGTTATATTAAAAAAAATCTGAGCGCTAAACTTCAAGTACAGGTAAGGTCGTGAATGACGTCAAAGAAAATATTTCGTTCGTGCATTGCGGCATTTATTTGCTTTTGTTATATTAGCTATAGGTACGCAAATTAAACATTTTATAGGCTCGCTAATTATTAGTTATAAAACATTAAGTATTTTTTGCACGAATTTTATTGTGTTATGAATTTGTATTGACTATATGACATCCTATAGAGAACACAATAAGTTACATCGAATTGGTGACTTCATAGAAAATCTTTTGGAAACCACGTTGGAAAATGTAAATATCCGATAGGTATATTTTTACCAGAAAACACAGTACTTTTAGCAAACAATGAAAGGAAAATTAAATTAAAACTCTATAATGGTTAATTAATTACTTATTTATTTGTTTTCCTGCAAAAATAAGGCGACTAGCATACCGTCGTCTTTTTGGTGATTTATAATTATTTTCTGAACTTAGTTTCGATATTTTAGATCAACTCAACGCTTCGGATCCTTTCAGATCTCATGGTCACGGCTGACTGAGATGATTGAGGTCTGTTTGAAAAAAAAAATCAAATTTACGCTATTTACATCCGAAAAAATATGTACTTTGTCATTTCCTATCTGTAACAATCGTGAAAACCTAAGAACTCGATATTTTATTACTCTTGTTTATATACTTTATTTTGTTAGTCCTCTGCTGTCTTTTAAATATTTTAATAATTTTTTTTTTTACAGGGTTCAAGTCCAGAATGCTGCGCAGATAATGCCGGAGTGGAGAGCGGGAGCAGCGCAGGTGCGCCCGCGCCGCCGCCTGGGCCGAGGTACAAGCTGGCTACAGAGGGAGCGCTTAGGGTGTGCTGCTTTCAGCACACCAGAACCGTCGTGGACAAAATCCTAGCCGCTAAGTTCCTACGTCGCTGGGAGACACATGTGCTATGTCTACAGGAAGACTTCATCGTTTCCAAAACCGTAAGTGTCTGTAAAATGATATCAAATATTTTTGTGAAATTCCTCCACTAGTTTGCTATAATTATTAATAAAAAGATGGAAACTAAGAACAAATTCCTTCGATCCGAATATTATGGCGGTCAAACATCGTGACATTCAATATACTTAAAAATTATAATTATTAAAGCGACATCCTGTAGTCAGCAGCTGGAAGCTGTAAAGACTGAGTGAAGAAATAGATTTCTCATTGATGGTGCTACGTCAAAAAGTCGTTAAAACCAAAAACAAAGATTAGCAACAAGCGTAGAAAAATTCGTAACGTCCACTAGTTCTTGTCGTGGCTTAGTTTGCTGGAAGACGTTGGTTCGAATCCAGCCGAATGATTTTTGCATTATAAATCTATAAAATTATTAATGCTTCAGATTGTCCATAAAGAAAGTAATTTTCATGATAAGAGATAGAAAAATACTCCAAAGAGCATTTTCCTCTATTAACGGATCGTGTCAAGTTAGCCAAATACACAGAAGGTTATCTTTCTCTCTTTAAGATTTTTATATAATTTCATTTTACGAATAGAACAGGACCATCTCTCTAATATCCTGCGGGTCTTAGAATAATAATTGTGGGTGACATAAAAACCAACTAGTAAATGTAGAAAAAACGTTTTCCCATGTAAAACAGGTCTAAGTAGGTATTAACGAGCCTTTTTTTTATTTTTTAAGCCTGGCTATCAGAGCCGTTTTAGAAATGTCATTGCCAGTTTTGTTTTGACTATTGTTATACAGAATGATATCCGAGTACGATAAGCTGTCATAATTAAAACGTTTACAGTACCACATTCTTCTGCAGATCTCTTTCCTGGTATTTAAAGAGTAATTTATTTATAATAGGATTTTATCGTTAGAAAACAACTTTAAGTACGCGTTACAGTAAAGTAATTGACCGTAATTGCACTATTTAATTCCGCTTTCCCCTTTCCATTATCGGAGGACTAGACGTAGGATGGGGTTCCGCTCGTATGTTATGGATATTTGAAGAATGCGCGTGAAGCATTACGCTTGCACATTTACAAGGCGAACGGCTATGGAGTAGAATTCCCTGCCTGCAGACTTATTCCCTGAACGCTATAACTTTAGCCTTTTCCAGGCTATAGTGAATAGGCATTACTTAAGTGTGCATCCTCCATCGTCCACCTCATCATCCATTCCATCAGGTGAGATGGACGTCAAAGACAAAAGTTATTTGTTTATAAAAAAAGTGATTATTTTGTCGATGAGACTGAGTTTTTAATTGATCAAGATCGCAGATTAATATTAAGTTGTACGCCATGGACATTACCCCCAAATTTAAGAAATAATTTATGATATCAAATGCAAAGCTATTCTATCTTGTGACTTTCACTAACAATTGAATATTTAAATAGCCTGTAATCTTCGTAACAGTTGTTCAAACAAAAATATATACGTCAATCCGACACAGGTATTACTCATCATCGGGGTGCGTAATGCTAAAGAAATTTAATCCGTCATGTTTTTGTAAAAATTGACAATGGAATCGCCACATTTTTCAGCCAAATGCGAGTGTTACTTCATTACATATATTTTATATATATGAAATTTGTAGCGCTACTGGCGTGAACCGCTATAACGAACTGTCGAAATAGTTTGCACTTTACAATTATTTTAATAATTACTTTAATAAAAAACTAAATGCAATTCAAAACTTTGTAAGATCGACGTCATACGGGAATATTTAAAAATGACTATTTCTGGCTGTGATTCTTTTCAACACTAGAAGACAACTATGCCCATAGAAACACAAAGTTGTTGAAGACTCTTATTTCACGAAATTATAAGTACTAAATTATACACTCCCGGACACCATGCATTTTCAGTATTAAATGTCCTAAGCTTAAAAAATGTTTGATTGATCAAAAACTATTATGCAATTTTGAAATTGTAAACTCGGAAAAAACGTTTTCTTCGATGATAACAATATTTATGCATACTAGCTCTTTAAAATAAAAATACAGGTGGCTCGAATTGTGGATTGGGGAGTATATTTTACAAATTGACCAAACTCGTTATTTTTTATCGTTATGACGTTTCATATTTAAAACAGATGATTATTATTGCTTTATGTGAACTCACCATAACGAGGTCAATCAGAGATAAGAGAATGTTCGTGCGTCACTACTTTTATATCATTCTTGGGGCTATAAATAAATATACATGTAACTTAATATAAATACGTAGCATTGCTATGAGACATATTAACAATCTCTCGTTACATCAACAATTGCTAGAGGCGCATTGTACCTATTTCATTCATTTTGTATATGTACTGTAAATATCTTTATAATCTACGAGAAGCGAACGTTTGAGAGAAAAACACAAATATTTACATTTACCTGCATAAACGGATATTGTTGTTCAAAACAGTTCTTCTCTGACGTCATCTGAATGAGGGAGACTGGCAGTCGACCTTTCCATCAAAAATTAAAAAAAAACTTGTTGGCAGTTGTAATATCCCTGTGTAGTACATCACATCTACTATTTCGGTTCGGTCTACTACTAGGTCGGTTCACACGTTATCGGTAACGTCACACGGTAGTATACTATATCATAGCTAAGAATATCAAACACTCAACTCACTACCAAGTTTATAATCGATGTTATTATACAATTGATACATAACGTTATTTATAACATAATGCGTTACCTAACGAATGCGAAAATAGCCTTTGAATTATAGCCACTGAACACGTCATACCTTTTTAAGACCTTTACAGTAAATATCAAAAACCACACCAAAAAATCAACTTAGTTCATAAATCTGGCATATTCCACACTTGGCATACTGTTTACCATTTAACCTTTTGATCTGTATTCGACTAAACGAATCAGAGTTCGAGTATCAACGCCCACATAAATTGGATATTGCTTGACGAACGTTATTTATAAAGTGTGGCATTTCGCATGTCACCAAAGAGAAGTGCTCGGGGTGGCAGTGGCGGGGCTAGACGCAGCTGCGCCGGAATGTCAAAGGTCGACTTTGGAGACACAACATGGACGCGGACGTACGATGCTATTCGATATTTCAATGCGTATAAGATGGCATGACATCCCCGACGCGATGTACAGAAATCGAAAATTCAGTCATACGCAATGATGTAGACTTTTTGGAGATACCCATGTTCAGCAAATGCAAATGCTACTCCCCCTCCGTTTTGTTTCGTTCAATAATTTCGGAACTCTATTTGATTATATTGCAAAAATATATTTATTTTTTAACTAAGTCTTTAATTCAAGTCTTTGTGAATTTAAAATAACGGGTTTTCCAACAACGACTGGCGATATATCTCTGACGTCAATACAAAGCATAGAAGGCCATTATTAAGTACTTTAATTAAAATTAAAATGCTGTTTTGCTTAATTACTGATGAAGTTTTAAACTAGAAGTAAATTACTAACAATGTTATTAATTATTAGAAATAATAAACATCAAACCACATTATGTTAAACTACGAATCCATTGGCATAATAAAAAGTTTGACGTCAATGGGACTTCATTGCGATATAATATTAATTAGTTGAACTGAGTTTCATTAACAATATTTCTATTTATGGAGTTGTACTAAAATTGTGCACGAAAATAAATAATGAAACTGCGCATCTTTTACAAAAATAAATGTACAAAAAATATTATCAATTCTTTTTTAAGTAATAATTCGTTAAAATAGATTCATTAGCTGTTTAATTCCTAAAGCCATTGATTGTAATTATTAATTAATAAAGTTGTTTAATTTTATGACGTCGATTAATATTATAATAGCCATTGTATCTGTGTCCTCAAATAGAGATCAAACATATAGTACTCCCGATTTTATATTTTACCATCTCTTTATTTACTATCAACAAAAAATACAGAAAATTTGATGCAAATAGTATAAATAAAATTAGCAAATTTGTAAGGCGATGATTTCCGTACTTTTCGTCTTAAGAATGTTTATAAAACGAGCACTTTGCGTAATTTATTTGTTACGTAAAACTTAAGTCTATTTGAGTAGCCATAAACTATTTGTGGATGCATCTTATATAGAAGGATTAAAAATGTACGGTATCTCCAATCCTGACACGAAACTTAAAATGTAGGATGAAATTTAAACAAATTTGAACCTCAATGTTCTTTTAGATAGGTATAAGCACCTTGACACAGATTTAATAACAGAGCTTTATTCCGTCTAGGCGCAGTGACGTTCAAAGATAGATATTGTTAGGGACTTTGAGCTAAAAGCTCTTTCTGGAACTAACAAACGTCAAATGGCTTCAATGGAATACTGTATAAAATCAGTAAATTAATATGAAACTAACATTCGTTTTGCCCCATGCGTTCCGAATCGATATGCGTTTGCCACGAGTGTGCAAGCGCGCAATCCACTGAAAACAAAGTCGTAAGTAAATGACATGAACAAATAATTTATAGATTCATGGAAATTTCTGTGTAGTGGCTTCATATCAAATGTACAGGAAAAGTATAACGAAAAATATGTGGTTAGGTAAACACTTGAGTTCGCTTGGAGGTGGGGTTCTTAAGTGGCGAATAGTGCGCACGATTCCTATCGGATGGGTGGGGAAGAAGCGGGATGGTCTTACGTCACAGAGGCGCCTCGCCAGCGGTCGGTAGGGCATTGCTCCGCTACGTCACAACATCGGGCACACCCGGCCTGATGACGGTGTACGGGACCGCGCCCGCGCCGCCTCCACTCAGCACAACCTAAAGCTGTTCTCGACAAAGTGCGCCCCGAGCGCCCTCGTTTCTCGTTGACCTAATTTCACATCGAATCTGTACTAGATTAAAATAGGTGCCATTGTCCGTCAAAACTAATTCAATATAACTTTATTGACTAATTTATATAAATCTTACGTGGCTTCGTAAACAGCTATTTCTTGTACACTAACGTACGTAATACTTACTGGAACTGAATAGGAAAAACACCGACCGACAACAACAAATGAAACTTTGTAAAACAAAACACGGTATTGTATATAACAACAATAAGCCATCTTAAGGATCATAAACAGGCAAAACCACGTACACTCATTATGAGTATGTAGTAATGAGAACGCTCTCTGAATGTTGATATGCATTGTACAACTATTTATAGAGGTAGAGTATCTTTATGCTATTAATTTTAATTTTAATTTTCAGTAGTTAGTTTTTAGTGATGTCAATAATATTAGTGGCTGAAGAAACTTTAAAAAAAACTATAAGTACATAAGGAACTATATAGTGTTAATCGTGGTTAAGTAGGTAGTAAAAAGTGAATGTAATGGATACCTATTAAATATTTTTAACTTTTTAATAATACTTATTTTTTATTTATTTAAAGTATCGGTTTCCTTGTTCCAGCCATCTGGCCTACTAGAAAAGCCCCTATCGTACAGCTGTATGCAGGAGGTGTATTGCATATCGAGGTGGGACCCCGCAAGAAAATATTGCCTGAGGATTGTAATGCCCCACGGATCACTTCTTTTACAGGTATTATTTGTTACTTATAGTTCTCTGTCTGTGTTATTTATGTGTACTGGGTTTAACTCAAGAGCGCTCCTAAACATGAATAAATGAATTCTAGAACGATTTTGAATGCCGAAATTACAGGCACATGGGACTCGTCAAGTATGTCTGTTATGTTAGTAGCAGTAGAGTTCCTTGTGAAAGAATTCGTCCAGGGTAGGACTGCCACCTTACCTATTTCTAAAGCCAAGCAGTAATGTGAGCATTACTGCGTTCCGGTTATGAAGGGTAAGAGTGCTGGTGAAATTATAGGCACATGGGACTTGTGAACTTATATCTCAGGGTGACGACAGGCGTAGTGGCAGCGCTCCTCAGATCTTTGTGATTTAAAGCACGGTTGTTGCAAATATCAGTAATCTGCATGAATTAAAATATCCGCATCAACATTCGCAGTCAACGATGCTGATATTCATTGGGGATATTCGAGCGTGATATGACCTAAAAGGCACTATGCCATAATTTACAACACCTTCCAGAAGCAGACAGTAAGCAGAAAGAGCAGCTCAACTGTTGTTTTTATAATGTAACTTTGATAAAATTCCAGAACGATGAAGCTAGGCAGATTGATTCCTTGGTTAACAAACGTCATAAAATCATTGAAATAATAGGAAATGAAACTATTTTTCCGGATTTAAATTGCGTATATTTGTTTTTTCAAACAAACCGACGTTTCCGGCCCTTTACAGGTCCCATGGTCAACATAGTCAACCGTGACTATGTGTTCATTTCCTATGTGTAACAATCGCGAAAATCTAAGAACTCGACATTGAAATAATATTTTATTGCAATACCAAAGGAAATAGAAAGCTTTTTCATGTAGATAGACTCAGTAAGAATTTACATTTTTCGCGTTTTCTTTTTAAATACACAATATCGGCATCCGCTGGTGTTAAGGTAAAACCTGCATCTGCAACAACCCTGATTTAAAGCACTGAGTAGTACTGCAACTATTATGGACAGGCGTGTCACTTACCACCAAGTGGGGGACTTGTTGGTCCCGTCACTTGGTCTCATAAAACAATTAAAATGCCTCAGGGAGACGGGCGCAGTGGCGGTGACCCTCGGATCTGCAAAACTCTGAGTGGCACTGCAACGGCTATGGACAGGCGTGTCGCTTGCCATCAGGGGCACGACTTGTTCGTCCTATCACTGGATATTATAAAAAAATACCTTTACGGAATATAAAAAATGCCCTATACCGAAACATGTCTAATGCATAGGTTCCCAAACTTCTTGGCTCACCGCCCACTAAGGCAAGATAAAAAAGTTTCAACGCCAACCACCACCTAAAATTATTGAAAACACGTATTTTTTTATTAAACTAATACAAAAAATCACAAGGAAGAAAAATTATATACTATGTTTGTAGTGTAGTTTATATAGATAATTAAATTTTTTTTCAAATGCGGTAGCACCCCCTGGATAGCATCAATTGCTTACGAGGCCCCTAACATAGTACATACAACCCGAATATTTTCAAGGTGCGATTGAATAGGCATCTTCTGGGCGAGCTCGTACCAACGTAGACCTCATCTTTGCTCTAGGGCTAGGTAGTGGTCAAGAGTACGTCCATTTTTTAATAAAAAAAAAAAAAAACACCCCCCTTGGACTCTGACGGGTGGTAAGGCCCACTTTGGAAAATTATAGTCTAATGTCTCAAATCCCTTATTGCATTATTATTGTTATTTCTACTTATTACTTATTTTCAAATCCTACAAAAGTGTAAAGGGTTATCTAACAACCTCGCAGAACTATATTACCAACACATCGAGTATATAACCAGAAATAGAGACGAAATTAGGGCCATATATTCCTGGTTGCACATTAGCCATACAGTTCTTATAAATATCAACTCTCGTTTGCACTGAAATATAGACAGGCCAACTACTGACCTACTGACGTACGTCTACGTATATTCCAAAAAATATTCTGTATTTATTGTAATAAAGATAATATCCCTAATAATGCCGTGCTGTTCTATTCGGTGGTGTGGGAAAAACAGCAAAACATGCAATTACAAAACAAACGGAATCACATTTCATCGGTAATTAAATATGTAATTTTGCAATTTTCGTCCATTATAGCTAAGCTCAAGTTAACTGGTCGATTTGAAGTGAAACAGTTGACGACACCCGTCAATTGTTTAGAACTCGGGCTAGGCAATCGGAGCGCAGTTGTCACGGTAATGATATGGCAGAATAGTTTTCAAACAAATTAAATGACATTTCGTCTCTATGTCTGGTTATATACTCGATATACAACTTCTTTTTTTGTCGACAAGTTTTGTTCCACGACTTTTAATAATACATCAGATTTTGCTTTCATATACAAATAAATATATTTAAATAGATCGCTCTAAACGGTAATAACTCTATGCAAGACGGGGCTGGGAGTTATAGAGGCTGATGACGCACGTTTCAATTTGCCTTGCTGTGAAATAAAGATTTCAAAAGTCTCAGGGTCGTATTCTAGAACTCTACTCAATGCTCAAGTCAGGACTTGAGTATTGCAGTGAGCACTGAAAATCATACTCAAGTCCTTGCCATTAGGGTCGCATTTCCAATGCTTCAAATCATACTCAAGTCTGCACAAATCCTGACTTGAGCATTGAGTACAGTTCTGGAATACGACCCTGAGATAGTATTATTATACAAAAACTTGAAGTTTATTTTTGATAAATTTATTATGTTTAGTACAAACTCGTGGAACAAAATTTGTTGTTTATGATATTAGTAATATACTCGTAGTCCTGAGAGGTTGTAAGTATTTTGCAAATTAGCCTGTATATTATATAAGTAAATTTTATTATTATTATCTATATATATACATTATTAGTACTTATTCAGTTTTTTTTTTTGATGATATAAAGTGACGGGACGAACGAGCATAACAATTGCAATGCCACTCGGAACTTTAAACCGCAACCGAAGAATAGAAGCACCGCCACTGCGCCCGTCTCATGTGCCTGTAATTTCACCAGCACCATTGACCTACCAAAAAATGGACGTCGGGTCTAATACAAAAACCACGAAAAAAAAGTCCGAAGTTAACCTATACTAACGTAGAGACATGTAACGAAACATAAAAAACTAAAACATTTAATTTAAATTGGAACATCATTGCAGTACTGCCTAATTTTGCTTGCAACAATTTAAGGGCCCGAAAACACCATATTCAGCTTCTACTGGAAACTTAACAAAATTCACCTTATTTAGCTTCGACTGAAAATTACTTGAACACAAGAGCAATGGAGTAGCCTTTATCCTAAACATTAATTAATTTTTATATATATAATTATGCCGAATTTTGAACAAATTCACTTAGAGAAATAATAATCAGTTGGGCAGATACATACATACTAATATTACTACAAATGTCAAAATAAGCGTGTACTATAAGAACTGTACAGATATTCCAACTAAACGTAAACTCAAATATCCGTAATTCCGAAAACCGATTTATAATAAAACCATTACGCTTTCGAGTAATTTTGATGCTTTTCACTAAGGCAAAATTAGATTTTGTTTTGTAACAATATTTTGTTAGTTATTGCTAACGTTTAATAAAAAAATCATTTTAAGAATAAGATTAAAATCCAAACAACTCTATAGTTTCTTTGTTCTAAATATTTCAATCGCTTGTGGTTCGAACAATTGAAAATGACCAAGAAGTTTATATAAGCTTCTTGAAATTGACGTAATGGATCTCTTTCCATCTTTTGCGCATGCAATGTGTAGAAAAAGGGCAGTTAACTATTTGATTATTTTGTGTGCTTTTGTAATTTATACTCCTGATTCATTTATATATAAATTAAATTAAATACTATAAAACTGTACACAATAACACTTTTAAATGAGAACTATGATAACACAATATATTTGTTTAATGACAATATGATACAAAATCCTGTTTTTACACTTTACTGCAGTAATTTTTACAAGTTGTTGTTATATAGTACTGCATGATTGACAACCGCGCTGTCAGTCGAACAAACGAAGACTGTTGCGCGATTGACGATCTGTATGCGATTTTAACGCCCTATGGGTGCGGACACTTTTTAGCGCGAACCCGATGTCCATTTATTGGTAGGTCAATGACCAGTACCCTTACCCTTCCAAACCGGAACGCAATAATGCCAACATTACTGTTTGGCGGCAAAAATAGGTAAGCTGGCAGTACTTCCCTGGACGAACTCTTTCACAACGAGCTCTACTGCTGCTAATGTAAGTATTTATTTGAAACACTTCCATTAGAAGATATTCTTTTGTTGCATTCCCCTTTCCACCTCTTAAATTTCTACCCTAAAGCCGCCGTGATACTAACATTACAGTTTTATCTTGTCATTGTAATTGTTTAATGTGCAGTAAATAATATTTCATTCATTCGAATGTTTCCTGAAGTTAAATTGGAATTCATGCGTTATTAATTTATCGCATGTAGACATTTTATTTTGTGTTTTTGCAGGCCAACGATGCTTACACGAGGGACCAATGGTACCATTCCATTATATGGAGGGTAAGTTACATTTTCCTTCCTCCTTAGACATAAATAGTTGTTTACTTAGTCATGCCTAGATCTCAACAGTGGGATTTTTGTTATAAGTAGGCAGAAATATTAAGAACATTATTTTCCTTGTTCCAGAAAAATATTATAAGATATCGCAATTTCCTTACGAAGAGTATTAGAAAAGAAGTTGTTTTGAAGGAACTTAAGGTAAGAAGTAATAATAATAATAACGCACACACTTAACATACCCCGCACTAGGGAAACCCTGTGTCGCGGGTGCCATGGACACACACATAGACAACCACAAATTACACCCAAACTCACGAGAGAAATAAATGTAGGCCATACAAATATTTCTCCCGGCCCGGGAATTGAACCTGGGACCTCTGCGTGGCAGTCCGACATGGTAACCGTTCGGCCACAGAGGCAGTAGTAATATATAATGTTGTAAACAAGATATTAGGCAACACAGTTTATTTAAAAAAATAATTTTTAATGTTATTTCCATATAGAACATGGTTGATTTCGCGATGACGACCCCCTTGCAAGACGAGAATGTGACACGCGCGCCGCTGCAGATCTTAACGGACCTCCTTTCCGAGGTGAGTAGACGTTGGCTTAGTCATCTGACTCTCGAATACAACTTTCCAATAACGAAAGCTTTAAGTATGTTTGTGTACGTAACTTGGATGTCCGCTCACCGTCAATCGCTTCGCAATACATTTACGAAAAGCCGTTTCACCTGTCCTACGACGTAGTTGAATATATTCGCGTGATATAATAATGTCAATGCGTCATGCGTTTATTGCCGAATATAAAAATAATTTGTAATTCTGCGACCAATAAATAGAGCGACACGTTTTGTAACTATATAGGCTCTGTTTAATCATCTTGTTTAAGTTGCTGCCCATTAAATGGGACTGTTCAAATTTGTGGCGCGAAAATAACGATATGTAAACCCATTTGTTTAGGTCAATAGTATATAAGTGGTCTGTGGTCAATACACACTCGTTAATACGAAGTTAAAGACATACTGGAGTCGCACAGCGGAAACGGTTGGAATGAATTTTTATCGCTTGCTATAATTACAAGTTCGTTAGACGTTAGGTGTTTGTGTATAGGAGTCTTCAATAAATAAGAAGTAAAATGTTTCCTGCTGATAACAAGAGAGCATAATGTTTGAAGTTTAATGTTGAAAGACTACGAGTAAAATATGTCTATTTTAGTGGGACCCGTCAGGAATGATCTTTAAGAACATTCTTATCGCAAGAGGCATAAAGTTAAATTTAAATATTCAATCTTGAAGTTCTCTCCATCGTGTATTGTATATAGAGGGAACTCAATAAATGCTCACTGTCGACGTCTTTGGATTTGACAAAGGAAGGATTTTTTTTACAGAACCAAGAAAGCCCAGATTGGGAAGTTTGGGCGGAAAATGTAGCAAATGTTGCGGCCCCATTGCTAGCGGAGCGATGTGCGAATGGCGAACTATGCGCTTTGTTGGCAAGGTTGTGCAGGCGCCGGCCGCGAGCAGCTCCGCTTCCGGCTCTCGCTCCGCCTGTGCGCCGAGTCCTAACCCGCAATGTGGACTTCGCTCGAGCGCCAAACGCAAGACAGCTCGTTAGGGATTACATCAGGTAACATAACAGCGTCTCGTTAATTACTTTTTTATTCAAAAACATTACTGGAGTTTTCTAATCCAATTTGTTGATTCATGGATAGTTCCATAACATTTGGCGACGACATTTAAATTACACATAAACATGATATCGACGTTTGGAGCCGGCGCTCGAAGGACGCGCTCGGCCTAAACACGCCTACTAATACGCTCGTTTGTATACATTTGGGTCATCCAAGCCAAACATATTATGAAATATATCGGTAGACCCGTCCCAGCGTAACTCATTAGCCTCGAAGCCTCATTTGGTTACAATACAGGTTATTAGTAACGTCATCAATAAACATCGAGTCAATGTTTCGCCGGACATCTACAGGATTACTTAAATGACGTCAATGAATCTGTTTAATTTTAGAACATAAGTAGTAACTTTTTGCACAATATTTTTATTAATTATCCGTATATGAATATTATATAAAACCTTTGGCCATATCGAGAAGCAAAATACGTAGACTTATGTATATTATTCCAGTCAAGTGATTAATTGACTGACCTGTTGTTGCGTAGTGCTCTAAGCGCGCATAACTCCGGTCCGGCTCTGGTGCGACGGTTCGTTGAGGTGACGCACGGCGGGCGAGCTGCGTGCCCACACCCGCGCGCCGCACCCAACCTGGCCGCGGTCGCGCTTGCCGCCATCGACGACTTCTACCGCAATTCTGCCACGCCGCATCAATGCGACGACAGAGAGGACGAGGTCCTATGCTTCGCTGATATACTCGAACACATGTGAGTTACCCGTCCTGCACAATAAATACAAAATAAATATCATTATCATTGTCCCATCGAGGATCCACCAGGCCAGTCCTAAACCGCCCACGTCTTAACGCTTCTCGCGGCCGTCACGTCGTCAATCCATGATATGCTTAACACGGCTAAAGTACTGACTTGTCTCTTGTATTTAGATAGATAAGGGATTTGAATTCAGCACATTACATCACAGCATTACATATAACAAGAAAATGAAAGTTACAACAAATAATGTACTGAAAAGGATTCTGTTTAGCACAATGTTGCCACCTTTATAAGTTTGCAGCGCTGATATTCTGCCGACATCTAAGTGGTGGGTGGCAAGCAAGGTGCGCGCGGTAATGAACAGTCGGCGGCACATCAATTGCAACAGTTGCACTACAAATCTGCTGCTATTGCCGATGGAATAAGGACGCTTTTAAGGTCGCTGCTGCGCCCAATGCGCCGCCGTACACACAACAACGACTTACAATATTTAAATTATAATTAAAATAAAAAAAAGAAAAAGTATTAATTTAAAAAGTATTTCAGGTGTGAATACGAAGACTGGCTAGTTGTAGTCGGTGCGGTGCTTCAACCGGTACCTATATGCGCGAGTGCGATGGCTTGTCCTGCCATCGCTGAACGACTGGGGAAGCTCTTGAATGTGATGGCCCACGACCCTCGGTGCGCAGCGCATTCTTGCGTGGCTCCCGCGCGCGCAGCCCGTCCTTACCCACCTTCTTGGCTTAGAGCCGCCGCTCCCTCTGACCCTCATTTAGCACTGCCTCAAGTGAAACTATGCAAATTATGGGGGGATATGGTAATTATACCAATTATATTTTTTAAACATTGGATAGTCCTTTCGTTTACATTACGCTGATTTCAATATTGTTTCTTTCAGCTTGGAAGTTTATTGAACTGCTGTTTCAAGCGAAAGAGTTTCCTACAAAGTATGAGCAAGCAACTACCCGATTTTCTTTTAGTAGCTTTAACCGAGCACGTAAGTATCTTGCAAAATAAAATTTGTTTTCAATTGCTATCTAAAATTCACTTACAATTTATACCATTATGTCACAGCCGGCTGCCTTAGATGCTTTATGCCTGATGCTGGAATGGGAAGTAGCAAGTGGAGAACAAACTCAGTTAGAAATTATTGCTGCTCTCCAGGGCACTGAGTTAGGAACTAAATATTATAGAGACCTTTGTGAAAGGCAGAAGAGTCTTCAAAGATTGGTGAGTTACCATGCTAATGAAAACTATTTTTAGATTTTACAATAGGCCTACTTATTATATTATTACAGTCGAAACATCATGGAAGTTAAATTAAATTGTAATCTTGATTGAAACCAACTCGCTGTCTAAGGTGCCAGTATTTCAATTTGATCTTGTTTCTAGCAATCGGAAGGTGGCCCAAGACAACTGGCCCTCCCAATTCGAGCCACAGACGAAGATGTGGCGGCACTGCTGGAAGCCGGAGCCCTCGGCAACCTCGAGTGTCTTTCTTTGGCGTTTACCAGCGTCACCAGTGCTTGTGCACATCATCTTATAAAGGTACCATTACTTTCTCACAAATTGAATATTGTTCATAGACTATACTGTCTCTGATTTGCAGTTGTAATACCAAGTGCCGATTATACAAAACAACACGTAAACTAAAATAAAAAATATATGTAACAATAGAATTCAGGAAAGTAGGTTCAAAAACAACGTAACCCGAATACGGACAGACCTGAATACCTGCAAAAACATTTCATGCATGACTAATAAAAATATAAATTGAGATCGCGGCATAAGCCAGCTAAACCCATTTTTTGGTAAGTACTATAGGCCAAAAAACAGTACAATGGTCATTAACCGCTTATCATGTCTGGAAGGAATGTTTCCAATTCTGCCCTCCTTGTCACAATTAACGCATTTGCATTTTGGTAACTTTCGAGATTCTTTTTTTTTATTTTTGATAACATCAAGTGACGAGACGAACAAGTTGTGCGCCTGGTGGTAAGCTATACGCCTTTCCATATCAGTTACAGTGCCACTCAGAGCTTTAAATTGCAAAGATCTGATGAAGATGGGGGCACTACCACTGCGCCCGTTCACGCTGAGACATAAGTTTGCAAGTCCCATGTGCCTGTAATTTCACCAAAATATATTATATAGAATATGTAATAATATATAATTATATAGATATTAGCATCTAAAGTTTTTCATTCTTTGCAAATTGTCAATTACGCTAATTTTGCTTAACAATAAAACTAAAACTAAATAAGACATTAAAAACCGTTTATAGGGGGTTGTAGATCTAGTTTTGCTGATTCCAGAATATTAATAGCCTAATTTCGCTAAAAATGTCCATTACGTTAGTTATCGTTGTCACACGGAAGGCAGAATTCTAACTCAAATATTGACTATTACCACTCATGCGCTTCGTTTAATTTGTAGCTACCCTCCCTGCGCTATTTGAACCTATGGGCGACGAAATTTGGGGATAGCGGTTTGCAGTTGATCGCAGAACACCTGCCTAGATTGCAGGTGCTCAACCTCTGCGAAACACGCGTCTCCGACAAGGGCATTGAGGCTTTATCAGGTATTTTAATCCTTCTCACAGTATCTTTGCTAAATGAGTTAATACCATTACAGTATAACATCCTTTCCACCTCATTTAAGACGAAATGTTATCGTGGTTGCGTAGGTTTTGAAGCGTATGAGGTAGAGGCGCGGAGAAATATTTAAGCATTTGTCTTTTAGAAATAAAATACACCTATATACATACTCTCTTACAGTAAAGAAGCTCATAATCCCCTGACGTATTTATTACGGAACACGTGCGAGAAAATTTGAAAAAGAAAATTTTGCGGAACTTCATGATTTTTTTATAAAAAAAAAATTTACTCAATCGTGTTTTGCGCCCCATAGTTCACTACCGGTATCTTCTGTTTTAAATTAGTATTTCAAAAATACACGGAATTTTGTTTGTGTGGTCGATATATGTATATTATTTAACGTTGCATCAACTATGTACTTATAATGTGGATAATTTGCAGGTCTATCCAACTTAAGGCGATTAAACCTGAATAGCACGAAACTATCAGCAGAGGCGTTCGAGACTCTACGTCAGAGACTACCCCAGCTGCAAGAGTATGACATCCGCTACACTGAAGCCTGGTGACCGAAAGAGCCTGCGCGACACAAAATTAAACAAGTTTTTAAGGCTTAGCATGTCTTGCGACAATGAAATTCAAATGGTGTATGGTGTGAGAAGTAACGAATATGATGTTCGGAAACTGCCGCGACTGCACGCGTCTTCTTTCTTTATAAAGCCTTTATTTCAACCCGCAAATTTGCCAGATATTTCAGGGTTATCTCTGAAATAGCAAAAATACATAAGCTATTTCATGCTAAATATGGAACTGTTTTTTTCGTATTGATGGGTAGAACCCATTAATAATCCCGCAGACCTTTAATGGTCACGCTGTACAAGGAAGGTAGTCGAAATCTCCGCGCGAGTTTCGCGTGCTTGACCAGTGCGAGCAACCCTATTGACATCTCACGAATTATCGCGTCAATTCGATTACCTACATCCGCATGAGATTTAGCAGCCACAATAGCAATGCGAAATTCGTCAGTTTGAACACTGAGTCGCTCAGAAACAAACAATGTGGCGCAAAAAACTTGTCACTATTATGCTAAGCCTACCATATTATTAGTACATAAATAGTTCCATCATAAGATTTACGTGTCGTGTTTATTGATAGCAAAATTTTACCTTTATGTGACCTTTAATTAAACATTCGGTTATTATTAGAAATATTATTTACTTAATGAAGTTTCTTAAAAATGCATAATCAAATATGAATGATCTTGTCAGAAACAGGCGATTTTGGAATACTCTTTACGTTTATTTTTAGTTGTTAGTTACATTTTCCTTTGTCCAGCAATGGAATACATTATAGTAAATCAAATAAACCTACCCATTAATTTAAATTATTTGTAGATAGAAGAAATGTACAGATTATTAGCCTAAGCACTCTGGGCCACCGCCGTGTAATGCTGGAACCGAGCTCCAATCGAAAAACTGTAACTAAAGTGTAAACATTAAATTTTAGATTTTCATCCTATAACAGCTCTCGAGCGCATTCTTTTGAACGTTCAATTGCTGCGTTTCTATGGTACATATGACATCAAATAAGTTGTCTTCCTTATCAAAGATGGAAATTGGTTTCTGTAAGACACGTTTATGGCTCAGTGTCAATTTTGGTCCGCACAACTCATAACTAAGTATAACAAGTCTAACGATAGTACTATCTCTTCCGCTAATTACAACGAGGGATAAGGACAGTAATTCTAGGACTGTTAAATTAGTTTAAGAGTCAAAAACCTGCGCGTCAAAATTGACCACCTAGATATTTAAAAATACGCTTAAAATGTTTAGTACTGTTATACATAGTAGATTAAGGTCTTATCAGGCTGTGAGAAAAGTACTAACATTCGAGAACATAAAAACTGAAATTATGGCGTAGTGTTGGTGTGTCAGGGAAATGATAAAATCACGAGTACTTAAAATGGAGACTCGATTTTATTATGGTAGGGTATATAGGACTTCAACTAAAGTTAGTTAATTGGAGACAGCTTAGGGAGCGCACAGTTTAATTCGGTCAGCGCCGTGCGTACGTGGAGTGTGAAGTCAGAAACTATTTTTACTATAAATATTTCTGTAAACGCAATTTTTTTCGGATGTAAAAACGCATAAATTGAAGAAATAAATTACGCTATTATAAATCCGAAAAAGAATTCCAATGTGTAATAGTTTAATTACAATTCTGAAAACCCAAGAACTCGATATTACTGGACAAATTTTCACACAGATCGAAATGACTGAATGAATGAATCAAAAAGTGCATCGTCCTGACAAGTGTCATCCTTTTTGCAGACAGTTGAACCTGCTTATCAACTTAAGTCTCATTTAAGTATCTCTTTTCCAACATCGGGCAGTATGCTCAAAACTTTTAAGATTCAGTCTGCACTTGTAGCTTTCTACTTATTGGAAACTTAAGCACTTCTGGAGTGCTCCGATACCCCTAGAAATTCTACTTGTAAGCCAGTCGTGTATCAGATGGTGATCTATATATTCAATCGCAGAACATATTGTTCCCTATGGGAAACAATTCACCTGCACTCAACGAGTCACTTCTAACTGTCTACGTTAATAAAAAGGGAAAAGGATGTGCCAAAAGACTGTCCTCCTAAACCAGGCGTTAGATTATGAATGAGGACCAGTATTTGTTTATTTTAATTTTAACGCACGCCAAGTAGAAGTGTACAAAGTGAATATAAACGCTATTCTATTAGTTCAAATCACTCGATTTTTTTGTTTAACCGAGTTTTCATATTTACAATACATTTCCCTGGGACATAAACACTTAGTGATGCGTGGATAATAGAAACACTGTAGGTAAACCAACCGTAAACCCAAGTAATTGTACTTTAAAGTAGTCTTAACAAGCGGACATCATTTAGCTGGTTTCAAATGTGCACTCAAGGCCCGCATGGGTAAAAGGTATGGGTTTAATAATAACTTACCCCAGCAATCTGAACGTATACGATTTATTTGTGAAATGTATAAAAATGAGGCGTGGATTTAAATCCTATTTCTCGTTTATGTGGTTCAAAGTGAACATTATTCATCTAGTTGAATTGAACGGGACGCATAATAATTGTCGTGCCATTTCCTTGTATAATTTCGTATATTAATTCATTTGTAAACATAGTTAGGCAACTCTATAAACTAGCCTGGTATATAGTTTTCTAAACCATTGTGAATGGGGAAAGTTGCATAAGCACCAATGAATACCTACGTTATATAACATTAATTTGCATGATGAGTTTTACTTCTTGCTTCTCCCTCGCATATTTTGCCACTATTTTATTCTCAGACAATATGCCAAATTGTATAATTATGCACAAGTACGTGAACTGAGTTATTGTTTAAAAGGTTAAGAGTAAAGAAGAGGTATAAGACTTATCCACTTTGTGAAAGTGTGAGAGTTTTTAATAAAATAATGTTATGTAAATACAATGGTCTTTTTTTAACATCATTTATAGAACTGTTTTTGAGGATATAAAGCAATAAGAGAATGAGCTTGCAAGGAAAACTTGTATCCCAATTTAAGTATTACGTATATATACTCCCAGAAACATAATTCGAGCCACTTCTCATTTTTGTCATAAAGGGCTAGAATACAAAAATAGTGTTATGAATGTTATTATCGAAGAAAAAGTTTTTCCCGATTTTGCAAAGCCAAATTCCCAACAAGGACTTATGGAAAAGACGTTTAGTGTAGTTTAGTAGTAGTTTCAAAATTGCACAATATTTTTTTATCAATCAAACATTTTTTAAGCTTAGGGCACTTAATACTGAAAATACGTACATACGTATTACGTACACATAATAATAAAAACGTGGTAGGTTAATGGTAATACAGAAACAACAACAATTTGTAATTTACTAAGGAATATATTTTGAGTTATTCTAACAGTATGTGTATGATACATAAATTATTTTAAATCTTAGTTTTTACACTTTTTATCACTTCTAAATTTTATTTCAGATTTTTTTCTCGTGGCCCTGTTTAAATTTACAAAATCTAAACGTATATAAAGTCAACGTAATAAGGTTAAATGAAACTAACAAATTTAATAAAGAGTTGATGAGTCTAATACATACGATGGTGCACTATAACTGTCAATCCTACAAACACATGGTTTGGTGGATAAAAAAAAAAATCAGTCGCCTGGGAAGTCATTATGCAACACCACGTACAGCTTCACCACGAAATTACCTAAATACTTAACATCACACAACTACCTAATGCAGCAAATTAAATGATAACAATAAATTTTAAAACTCACAAATACTAATATGGAAATCAGATAAAAGTTATTTAAGTCCTTTCTCAGTTTTCCTATTTTATATCACGGCGGTTATGACAGGCAAAAGTCCAAGCCTTGGAACATTGAGGTGTTCACATACATTTCGTATAAACTCCAAAATAATGTTACCAATCTAACCCAATAATCAATTCACTAAGAAAATTTATCGATAATCATATAGTCTAAATAAAAATACAATAGATTAGTAGTACCCAGTAGATATAAAAATAAATATTACAAATGAGTGAAACAAGTATCTTTTAAAAACATAAAAATTTACAAGTATTACAGTCAACATCTTATACTGTTTCATACTCATAATAAGTATATTAAGTAGACACATATATATATACTAAACTATTAATTTAAACAAAACATAAACCTAAGTGTAGACAATTATATTTAAAAAAACAATCATTTCATTTTACAAATTGGTCTAAACATGTTTTTTTATTGTTTGCTTTCAATAAAATTATGTGTACCACGTCTGAATGACTGGATTCATCTTAATTTTTGACGTCCTATAAAATTAAATTTGCTTATCCAATTATTGACTACGTTTGAATGTTAGTGCTGCAATAATTGATCATCCAAATTTCCACGTCAAATGCCTACAAAAAAATGTCAGTGCAAATAACAGAGTGTCTGTAAATTTCATGGTTTCAATGAAGTGTAATACTAATTTCCTTTGAATTTGTCTCTGGAACCCAGAGAAGAATGAAAACCAGAGACTGATGTTTTTCACTGAATTAAATTATTATGTCTCTGGCATAGGCAATATTTTTTTATTTTAGTTGCCAGTGGTTAATGTAGTGTAAGTTACCGCTATTTAGTGAACGCCGCAAATACCGCCCACATTATCTCGCAGGCATCAGGCCGCATGGCCTCAGCTTCAAAATCCAAGTCGAGTAATGATCGCACGCGTCGCGTGGCCAACTCATAGTCCTCGTCTGACAGTGGGGCAAAAGCGTTCTCCAAAACGTCCGCCGAATGAGCGAGCATTAAAAGCGCCAGTGACCGCTTATCAGCGTGTGCTACGTCAGTGATTGAACGGCGCAGTGCCGCCTCTTGAACCTGTAATTACGTTCCAAATACTAAAACAAATGCACTACTAAATTTTTCGTAAAAGTAGAGCCAAATGCGCAAACTATTCTGCATTCTTCCATGCTAATGACAATAATATTTGTAAAGTATGTAGTTAAGGAATATCCTGTAATGTATTATATTTTCCTAAATAATTTCTTGGAAACTTCAATTTAGTAGCAGCAGAGCTCTTTGTGAAAAAATTCGTCCAGGGAAGTACTGCCTTACTTATTTTGAAAGGAAAGAGTGCTGGTGAAATTACAGGTACATGGAACTTGTTAAATTTTTCTCAGTATGACAGGCAGTGGCAGTGTCCCTCAGATCTTTGCAATTTAAAGCTCTAGGTGGCACTGCAACCTCTCTCTCTGTCTCTCTCTCTCTCTCTCAATAATACAGTAAACATCCTAACCTTTTTGACTAAGCGGCATTTGACGACATTATCAGTTAGAGGATGTGTAGTCATGTCAAATAATAGAAAGTTTTGCTTCTCAGTTGTTAGCACTCCCTTTTCAACAAGATTCTTTGCCAGTCTCTCACGTACATTCTTTAGTTGATATTTGAGCTTCATAGGATTCCATGTTTCACCTAAAAACAGTAACATAAGCACATAGATCTGTGACAAATACCTTGCTGTATTCATAGGTAGTGCATTCAACTAGACCCATTGAAAGGGTAATTGAGGTATTTACTTCTAAATTAAATAATTACATTGTCAAGAAAAGCATCTGTTCGATTAGTTTGTTATTGTTGAATATGAGACAGACAAAAAATAAAAAAATAAATAAAATTATTAACACAAATTATTACAAATACATAGGTTGCCACTAACAAACATGTCAAATACATATTAAATAATAATGAGCATACCACTAAGATATTCTATCCAACTTTGCACAGTTTCAGGAGGATCAGTGCCTGATATATGTTTCAAAGCCTCATCTAGTAGCACATCACCAGTAGGAGTGTCTGTAATAACAAACAATAAATATACTGAATAATGTGTTAATTCTTTTTATAGACCCTAAAATTATTAGAAATTACACACCAGCTATTTAAATGTGTGTATTTGATTTCAGTAATGATACTGCTGTGATATACATACATAGTCAGCTGTGACCTGGACATACTCCCTGGTGGTGTCCATGCAATGTAGCAATGCTGGACACCTCAGCATAGCTATTATGGTAGCCATACTCCCTATGCAGAGCATACTACTACGGTACACTTAATTGATCAATTTGATTCTGAATATTAATTCACCTGGAGAAATACAGTCAAAAAGGGGAATTACAATGGAAAGACATTACATGACATTTCATCAGGGATATTGTAATTATGCATAACTAGAATTGGATTATGTGTCCATTTCAATAATTTACTGGCCAAATCGAAGCCGTGTAAATGTCGCAACGCAAAGTTTAGAGTGATTTACGGGAATCTATTATTATGAGTCCATAGATAACATAAATTAATGCTTACTGGGCAAAAATGAAAGTCATAGCCATTGAAATAATGAAGTAATAACATAAAATCCTTCTCCTGTAAAGGTTGGCATACTGCAGATATGCGCCTTTCACCAATGCTACATACACGTATTTGCACTATCGCTGACAATTTGGAAATATATAAAATATTTGTAAGGTATTAAGTTTGAGAATGGACTACAGTAGCTAATTTATATTAAGCACTATGTTTGTATGTTTTTTATCTATATATGACTACTACATAAATTGTAGCTCTAGTATGCTTTACATCTACACACAAAGGAAATCCATTGCTGTACATATATTTACTATGAACAATAAAGAAAACTTCCTAAATTTGGTCACTTATTACTATGAAACTACTATTAGTTACAGTTTCATGGTGAATTAAGCTAATATACAATACATATTACAAATATAAAGTGTTTTCATAGATGCAGAACCAATTTATAAACAAATTCTCATAAATTATATTAAAAAAAAGTAATATGAACAAGGAAAACAGTTGTCTGTTTTGTAGGTATAAAGTGTGAAATTTTATGGTACAAATGTTTTGGTTGAAGCATAATGCATTTACAAGTATACGCGATTAAAGTTTACATTAATTATACCACACGCAAAATAGGCGCTTTGTCGTCGAGTTGCCCAAGTTGCAGCCCGTTGCACAATGTACCAAGTAATTATGAGATGAGACTAGAGATGAGATTGCATTACCTGATTTTACAATGACTTTCCTAGATAGCAATCCTTTTCTTCTCATACCAGCTCTTTCTAGTTCAACGCGACCTCTTAACCCAAGTTCGATGAGGATACATCCTCTCAGACCGCTGGATATGCAATCATTCCAAAATGACGTGTAACCCTGAAATGATCATCACATTCACATATCATGAACAAGTCACGACTCACACAAGGCAATGCGGCAGTGCCACGTTAGATTTGTAATGAAAACAAAACACATACTTCTTTGTCCTTGAGCCCTAACAGTAACACTTCTTCCATTAGAGTCAATCGAGTTTCCTTTGAATCCCCGTCATCATAATTTTTATCATTTTTCTTATCATCGACGTCGTGGTTTTCCTTTACTGTTCCGTCCGAATTGATATCCTTTACAATGTTTCTTCGTTGCACTAAACCCTCGCTTCGATTCATTTTAACATTTAAAATACAAACAAATCACTAAATATTTAGAGCTTACGGTACATAGATATTTTTATTTTCGGAATAAATGTAAATTGTAAACGAAAGTTGACGTTTTGCTACACGACGTATTTGGTGGAAAAATATAATATGGCTGGCGTCCGATGACGTTTAACGTTCGTTTTTATCTTTCACTATATCGAAAATCGTTGAAATTTATTCTAGTTTAGTAAATTGAGAGACTTTTAAATATTTAATTGAAGGAAAAAATACTATTGCAATAATAACTAAACATTTAACACAGATTAATGATGAAATTAACTATATTGTAATGTTGAATCCCTTAAAAAAAATGTTGTACAAAATATAGAATTTGCGTTTGAACGAAACGTTTCGCCTTAGAGATCTGGCGCAAAATTTAAAAAAGCATGTATCACATTTTTTTTCCATCCTCATATTATGATCACAACCTTAGACTATTTTTGTTCCATTCTCTAAGATTACAACAGTATAGTAGATTGTACAACAAATGCATAAAACGCGTCATTGTACTCGAGAAGAGTATATCCTGCATACTTAAGTCGAGGGTAAAATGGATTTTATGAACGAGTTATACATTCTGCTTTTCACTTCGATTGCGAGGAAATTAAACAGCAATATTACAAATAAACGATTATTTAATTAAAATTGAATGTAAAATTACAACAATTAGATATATTTAATGTGATTTTTTTTTATGCACTAGAGCATGAAATCCTATTTTATGCAGCCACTCAGCATAAATACGAACTTTTAAGAGCATGAGAAGTGATAAAGTTATTATACTTTTTCCTGCAATACACACAGTAAGACAGGAATATTGTAATAAGAAAAAAAAATAATTAACAACTTAACGATTTAAAATGACTAAAGTTTGAAATGATTTCAAAGATTGCAAAGAGTAGGGGAGATGGGGCCTTTGAATTTTTTTTACATATCTGGTTGTTAAGTCCTAAATCATTATCATTTATTTGTTTTGTTTGCTGCTGTAGTTAGACTTATTATATGTCTACTATCACTCATAAAATTAAAAAGTTTTTATTACGTTTGTGAAGGAACTCAAACCAGCCTAGGGCATAATCACAGGCCTATTACAATGAAAAGTTTGCAGGGAACCGACACTCAATTAAAGTTTAAATTATTAACTGCAATTACTCCACTAGTTTGTTATAATTATTAATACTTGAAAGCACTTGAAAGGTCATAGATAGTCAATGGCTGCTTTGTGAATGGGCAACAGTTTGCTTGTCTAAGTGATGGAATGAAAAACTGAAATATTATTAAATTATTAAATTAAATTCTTATAATTAAAAAAATTAAATTTAAAAAAATTAAAAAATTAGGTCTATATTATTAAATGAGGTGCTTCCTCCAACATCTCGCACATTTCCCCTTCAATTTTTGTTTGTAATTCTACTGGCCTAGCAAAAACTTCTATGACCACACTAAAAGAAGAAAAAATAGCAAAAAATTGGTAAGGGCTAGGAATGCATGTCATCCGACCCTGAGGTCGAGCACCCCTGCTTTACGAAAGTTGCAAATTGTAAACATAAGTGACTCGAAAAGTTGACTTAGCGAGCAATTTTTGTTTTTGTGACTTTCCATGTAAATTTTTGTTGCGACTGTTTCTTTGACATTTGAAGCGTAGTTTCTGCTATACGTGCTATACACACCTCATTTTCCTCCGTTATTTTATTAGTTTTTTAGTGAAATTCGGCATATAGTTCTTCACCCGACAAAACCGCGAAATGCAGAGAAAACAATATGGCCGACACGATCAACCATATACTTGAAGCAAAGTCAATGTTAAAGTCAAAGATTATTTATTCCATAGGTAAAATAAATTTACTTAATTTACTTTATTTTTCAAGTGAAAACGTCACATTTAAGCTACTGTTCGTTCACTACGCTGACCTCTCTGAGAAGAACGAGCAAGAAACTCTAGGGATTGCTCTTTTCAAACAAACTTAAATGCTATGGAATACACTTTGAATCAAATTTGTGTGGATTCTGGAGCCGTGTCGTCTTTCCATACATCTTTATCTAACAATAGTAGTAGCCTTCAATTTTGTAATATGATTTTTCGATCAAAATATTTTTAATGTAGTTTTTAAACTTAGGAAATGATAAACTTAATATATGCTCCGGAATCTTATTGTAAAATCGTATACAGTTCATGAGTTTGGACTTAGCTGTAAGGTTAATATTATGGATATCTTCTTTCTTATTGAAATTATGTATATTTTTACGGGCATATAAAATATTTGAGTAAATGTACTGTGATGCCACTGTCATGATACCAGTCTCTTTAAACTTTTCTCTGAGAGAAACCCGAGAGCCTGGACGGTACAAAGAACGAATCGTTCGTTCTTGCAATACAAATATGGTTTGAATATCTGCAGCTTTACCCCACATGAGAATCCCGTAGGACATCACACAATGGAAGTAACCAAAGTAAACTAGTCTAGCAGTACTAACATCGGTAAGCTCACGTATTCTGTGGACTGCGTATGCAGCGGAGCTTAATCTGCTGGCCATATATGTGGAAACCATTGAAGTTTACTATCTAAGGTCACTCCCAAGAAGACTGCTTTATTAACAAGGTCTAACTTTTCTCCGTTTATTTCTATGCTTGGACTAGTCGATTTTACGTTAGGTAATTCAAATTTAACACATTTTGTCTTCTTGGCATTAAGCCAATAAGCAATAATAATAACAAAATATTAATAAAATAATGCTAAAAATAGAAAAAAAAATGAAAATAGAGTGAATAAATTAATAATATATGTAAAAATAATAGTAACAATAGATTAAAATATTATATTATATATTTGTAAACGCCAGCCGCCCAGTAGTCACGAAACAACATTAAAAATTATCGAGTTCTTAGGTTTTCGCGATTGTTATACATAGGAATGAAACTATTTTTCCGGATTTAAATCGCGTATTTTTGTTTTTTCAAACAAACCGACGTTTCGGGCCCTTTACAGGTCCCACGGTCACGGTTGACTGAGGTGGTACAGTCTTCAACCAGTTATGTCTAATATTGATGCAAACCACCCTATTTTTTTCACTATAGTTACAATAGTTATTAATTAAATACCTTATTTTTAATTTTACAAAGAAAACATTCCAATTTACGCTACATTAAGTTTTACAAATTATTTTATTGAATGAATTTTTTATTAAGTTTAATTTATTATTAATTATTAATAGAAATTAGAATAAATTAAAACATATTAATTAGTACTGCAGTCTTATGTCTGTTTGGGATTTTTCATTAGAGGAAATACTGGATCCCAAACTGGTGGTACGGAGAAACCATCTTCCCTGTTGAAATTAGGATGTTTTTTAATTTCAATGGCCTCTCGCAGCATCCTGGGCAGATAACGGACTTCTTTTGCAAGGACCTGGGGTTTGTCAAACTTCATTGAATGTGTAGGTTTGTCCATGACATGCTCGCAGACTGCAGACTTGTTTACGCGACGGTGTTTGACATCAGCTATATGTTCTTTGACGCGGGTACAAATACTTCGCTTTGTTTGTCCAATATAAGAGAGACCGCACTCACAGTCAAGCTTGTAAACTCCTGCATCCTGTAAGGGGATGTTACATTTCACGGGTCTCTGGAACTGAGAAATCTTCCTCAGGGGCTTGAAATAGGCAGGATTCCACGCCAATGCCGCAGACCCCGTGTGAAACCACCAACAGTCGAGAGAAGACCTGCCATCTTACCTTACGTGAGAGGTGTTACAGACAAGATCGGAAGAGTCCTCAGGCGCGCATCTATCAAGACCTATTTCAAGCCCCTGAGGAAGATTTCTCAGTTCCTGAGACCCGTGCAATGTAACATCCCCTTACAGGATGCAGGAGTTTACAAGCTTGACTGTGAGTGCGGTCTCTCTTATATTGGACAAACAAAGCGAAGTATTTGTACCCGCCTCAAAGAACATATAGCTGATGTCAAACACCGTCGCGTAAACAAGTCTGCAGTCTGCGAGCATGTCATGGACAAACCTACACATTCAATGAAGTTTGACAAACCCCAGGTCCTTGCAAAAGAAGTCCGTTATCTGCCCAGGATGCTGCGAGAGGCCATTGAAATTAAAAAACATCCTAATTTCAACAGGGAAGATGGTTTCTCCGTTCCACCAGTTTGGGATCCAGTATTTCCTCTAATGAAAAATCCCAAACAGACATAAGACTGCAGTACTAATTAATATGTTTTAATTTATTCTAATGTCTATTAATAATTAATAATAAATTAAACTTAACAAAAAATTCATTCAATAAAATAATTTGTAAAACTTAATGTAGCGTAAATTGGAATGTTTTCTTTGTAAAATTAAAAATAAGGTATTTAATTAATAACTATTGTAACTATAGTGAAAAAAATAGGGTGGTTTGCATCAATATTAGACATAACTGGTTGAAGACTGTACCACCTCAGTCAACCGTGACCATGGGACCTGTAAAGGGCCCGAAACGTCGGTTTGTTTGAAAAAACAAATATACGCGATTTAAATCCGGAAAAATAGTTTCATTCCAACATTAAAAATTACAAAAATTTAATCACAACAAAATATAATTGTAAGTCAATGCAACAAAAGCATAGAATGGAACGCACTATTTTCCATCCTTCTATGAACGCTATAGATAAAATAAAAATATCATGACCGCGTTTGAATTCTGCAAACCAGCTATAAATAGTCGTTTTGCATGGTGCTTCATTTATTTTATTAAGTTATCCATAAATTCGTAGAAAAACATACTACGAAAATGTTCACAAGTTAAATCCAAGGTGATGTTGTCTACATTTCTACCAATTTCTAAAATGACGCCACAATGTAAAAACAAGTGACAGTCACATGAAACAAACTGTATTCTACTGTTAGAGGGTGGAAAAAAAAAATAGTCTGAATACTCAATGCTCAAGTCAGGATTTGAGCAGACTTGAGTATGATTTCAAGCACTGGAAATACGACCCTAATGGCAAGGATTTGAGTATGATTTTCAGTGCTCACTGCAATACTCAAGTCCTGACTTGAGTATTGAGTAGAGTTCTGGAATACGACCCTAAGATTCTACAGCCAAAGAGTTCCATTTTCAAATGTTGTAATTATTTATGTAAATGGCTAGTTCCAGAAACTTATAGTGAGCCCTATGTATTGAAGTGTAATAAATAATTAACAAAGAAGTTGATTAATTTGATTTATTTTAATGAAGATAATTAAAATAAAACATATATTCGCCACACTGATATTAAGCAAATTTTTAAAATCGGATGATATACTTAAGGTAGACCTGGTAGACCCCAGACCACTTGGATGGAACCGTCGAAAGAGACTTGAAGACGATGAGTGTAGACCCGGAGATTACGCAAAGGTGCTCGGAGTGGCGCACGCGGACTTGGAGGTCTGACGCCAACAAGCCAGGACAAAGAAGAAGAACCCACTTGATTAGTGTATTGTAATTTGCCAGGTGTGCTACACGCTACTTTATCGGCTTTACAACCTCTGTGGGGTAAGATTAAAAGATATACGAATAATACATGAATTTGCTGGATGTGTAGTAAATTATTCAAGTATTTTGGCAAGTAGCTCGTATTATCTTTTACAGTACATAGGATTAAGTCCATAATAAATGAAGTAGTTTTTGTTCTTAACTGCCATGATCGGAGGGTTTTACCGGTAAAAGCAATTAGTATAAAGCTTTTGAAGCATGAGATTATAGAGCAATAGTCACATACATCCTTTATGCATTCCGCTGCGCGCGAGTCGTCTCTAAAAAGAGAGTATACAATAGCACATACTGTCAAAACTACATTTGAACATTGTATCATTTAAATAGCATACAAATTTGCGGTTGAGTAAAGTGATAATTTGTACAGTGAATGCGATGCTGAGAGTACCTACACAATTTCTTGATTGGATAGAACTAACATCGACATATACGATCTGCAAGTAATAACTTTCCCTATAAACAGGTCACTAATATTTTTTACCGTAACCTCCAACAGCGCTATAAATAAAATTCAAATCATTATGTACACGGAATACAGTCAGACATAAAGATTAGATAGGAATATTTACAATTCTGAATTAAAACCAATATTACTAAAACGATTATACACATTATTAGCTAAAGCTATCATGTGTTCGTCATTTGTTTTATCAGTTGAGAAAAACGGTGTGCGCGTACAAATAGTGCTCATTCGTTCATCTGCGCGGACGCATCGTGCCGTTGGATTCATAGCACGTGCATTGATACCGGCCGTCGTGTTATGGGTGTAGAGGAACAGAATCAGGATACGGTATGCCATTAATAAACTCGTTTATTGTTTACTTTTAACTTATATTGTGTATGCATTCGTTATGTGAAACTCTAAATCCATGAATTGTTATGTTACGCGCCAAACTTGAATGTGCGTTAGTTCTTTGCCGGATGAACTTCATACTGTAGAACGCGTGCATGCGATTAGGGCAAAGCGCCAGTTGGCGGCTGAACTCGCGACACGCCTGTCGCACCACTACGATAGAATTTTCCGTGTCCGCACGACCTAATACAGGGTCAACAAAAGTGAAGTAGTTTAAAAATTATCCATTTATTATACAGAAAAAGTGCGTAAAACAATAAAATGATTTAAAAGTGCTTAGTATTGTGACGAAATTGCCGAAAATCTACTTACTCTACTTTAGTTTTTACTAACTTCTCTACGTTAGATTTTTCAAATTGTTTACTTACGTAGCAGGTGAGATTTGGATACGCAGCATACATATTTCAACTTTAAAAACTCCTTGCTTAGGTAGGTTATTTGTTCATCACGGTTTTCCCCATGTTATTGATTACGTCGGTGCAAATTATACGAATCCAATGTATGTACTTACTATAGCCTTCTATTTGAAATCAATGTTTCCTTGAAAACAGTCAGTTACTGCAGGTATTAATTTATTTAATATTTCACATTAAAGGACAATGATATGCCGAACGTAATTTCATTTTTATATCAATGTAATGAGTTTCCAAGACGTTTCGGTAAAGATGTACGGTACAGCCCAAAACAATAGGCCCGTTACTTGACCGTGTAGCCGCCGAAATTGACGTAGGTTCGTAACCGGACATAACACTTTTGCATTGTCCTACAATGTAAAAATACCACATCTGTAATATATTATTACAAAAATTCTATTGATCGGATAGATTCTGAAAATTATGGCTTTTATTAAAACACTCTGGTACACTTCTAGTAAAAAAGACATATCTTAACATGAAGTTTTTTAGCAACTGGTAATAATAATATTAATTTAACTGCTTCTGTGGTCGAACGGTTACCATGCCACGCAGGGGTCCCAGGTTCGATTCGCGGGCCGGGAGAAATATTTGTACGGCCTATATTTCTTTCGTGAGTTTGGGTGTAATTTGTGGTTGTCTATGTGTGTGCATGGCACCTGCGTCACAGTGTTTCCCTAGTGCGGGGCTATGTTGAGTGTGTACGTTACTATATAATAAACAATAGATTTTTATTGAGTAATTAATTAGTTTTTGACTGACAAATTAGACTTTACCTTAACTGACAGCTAAAGATATGATTGCATGCATTCTATAATATTTCACACGTGCTTATTGCGCTTAAACTACTAAAGCCTTAATCATCACGCCACTGATAAATAAATGTATGATAAGAATTGCTGGGTGTGTGTTACCAGTGGACTTGTTACGAATAACTACATAATACGTCATTACCCTTTTTGAAAGTAACATAATTTAGTGCCCAAAAAGTGATATTAAAAGGAGATTATATTAATTCAAATTAAAAATAAATGATGCCGATAGAACAACAGTCAGAGAGAAAAAAGTAACAAAAAATGAATAAAAATGTATTTTTTTCATTGTGTGACAATCACAATTAGGTATTATTATGCCTGTGAAATGCTATAGGATTTATGTACTAATGCCCTAATTTCAAATGCAGGAAAAATAATTCGAGATAACAAAACAAGGAGTTACAATTAATAGGTGCCTTTATGAAGTGAACGACTATATTGAGAATTTATCTTTTAACTGGGGGTCACCCCATAACATTTGTTGCCTCTGATAAAAATCCCATTGTAATGATAAAACGTCGAAACATAAATTACTTTGATATATTATATGTTATAGTCGTACTCCTACATTATGAATAAAATCTCAAATTAATATTGACAGTAAAATATCTAAAGGTTCAATAGGTTGGCAGGTATGGCCTATTGAGCAACACCACAATGGTAAACATTGAGTTGTGAACGAGTTATGCAAGCAGGCACATCAAACTAAGGTTTTGCATCAATAATAGAAGTCGTTTTGAACAGATTTATCTCTAAACATATATGAATTTTAATAGATAATTTTACCGGTATTTCACACGCCATTATTTTTATTTTTCTGCAATTATGTAAGAAAACTCTACATATACGTAACTTTCTTAGTTGATTGTACTTTGGTACATTATTTGAAAACGTAATAATGTGTATATGACATAGACGATTTCTAAGCAACAATGCGAAAAAAAATAGCATCGCAACGGCATCTTGAAAATTGTTGCTGGCTTTTATTGTACAATTTTAATTAGGTTGGGCAAATAAACCTGTATTTATGTTATATTAAATTAATAGCTATTGTTGTGTGATACTAACCTACTCTAAGTGAAAATGTTACTAACATAAATATGAATACAGGTACATACCTGAAATAAAGAAATTATGTTCTATTTTATCGGCTGGTCTGGAAATCTTTGGGGGAGGCCTAAGTTCAGCAGTCTTCCGGTTGATATGATGACGATGATGATTCTATTTCATAAACCGAAAATAAATTAATTTATATACGTAAATTAAATAGCACCTTGCATGATCTTGTACAAAAAAGTTTGTGCAAAGTATATATAATATTTATCTATTCAAATAAAACCAAACCAAATTATTATTTATTATGTTACTTTTATAACTTTATGTAAGTATATTACGGATACAGACGCGCTTTCACGCACACAATCGTTATCTACTTTGTTACGATTTAAGAGTTATAGGTTAATACTTACGTAAGGCAAAAAAAAAACATTGATAAGTAGGTACAATAACGCATTTACTTACTTGTGTATGGTAAATAAACACGGATGATTGACCACTGCCTTTTATGCAGATTATTTCAATTAAACTCTTAATAGCATTAACCACAATATTACATAGGATGGAAAAGGCCTAAAGCTAAGTTAACAACGTGGATTACAGGACATTATGGATCCTGTAGGGCACTGCAAATTACATTTATAGAGAGGTTCTACTCTTCACAAAAGTTAGAAATGTTGCTTTCTCTTATGTTTACGTTACGTTACAAATAAGTATTAACTTATTAATATATATAACTGAAAATTATGGATAGCATATTCTTTCGAGAGAGTGATGAAAAAAGAAAATGGGAAAATGGAGCATTGATTGTATTATTCTTTTATTAATTATAGAAAATAAGTAAAATATTATTTATATTATCAATTGAATATAATAATTTTTTTGCTTTAATTTATTTATTATTGTATCAAATAATAAAGAAGGAACATTCTTTTGTTTGAGGTACAGGTAACTTCTTTCAATGTAACTTAAGTCATATAAGAACTCTGTTTAAAATGTGGTACATTTTTATCTGATTACGACAAATCTTTTAAAGTTAATTATTTAAAGTACTCTACCGTTAGTGGGAAATTTTAAAGTTACTTTTTTGCAGGTATCTGACTTCGGTGGCAATTTTTATTACTATATAATAAATTATTGGAAAATTTCGAAACAAATATTAAATAATATTTCAGGTGACTGTACTCGAATATGAAATAATACTTCTTGATAATATTCCTCAATATTTAAATAATAGAAATTGCCACCGAAATTAGGTAGTAAGAGCTAACCTGAAAATTACCCTAATGCTAATTACTAACAACTCAGAGTAACAATTGACGTGTAGGACATTGCTAATAAAAATCCTCTAAGTAGTGGTCAAAAACGTGGCTTTATGCTGTTTTGAATAATTATGTTTTAAGTCTTTCAAATCTATTGTTTTTTCCCTTCGTTTGGCCCGAAGTCGGAAGTCGGAGTATAGTGCTGCAAAATATAAACAAACTAGTAAAATATATTATACGTCATTACTCGTAATCCTCACGATAAATCGTCAAGAGAGCATTAAAATTTTTACAGAACACGGATCCGCGTTATCTTTTGTTACATAACAAGTTTAACGAACGATTATCTTTTTACACCTTTAAGTCTTATACTATTTATGGTTTTATTACTGCAGTCAATTTATATCTAAACAGTTAAGTAAAGCATTTAAAAAACTGTTTTATTATATTATTTACTATAATCATATCGATAGAGTTAGGACATTAAGAGAAGATAAAAAAATATATCAAAAATTTATGATTTGTATACATAGTTTACGATGCCTTACTTTCTCAAAATCGTATCTTAGAAAGAGTGATTATTCAGGAGATGGCAAATCTTTCTATTTATTTTACATTTTTTATCAAGGCTGTTAAGTTAACTGCCTCGCTACGCAGAGGTACCTGGTTCCATTCCCGGGCCGGGAGAAATATTTGTATGGCCTACATTTGTTTATCTCTCGTGAGTTTGGGTGTAATTTGAGGTTGTCTATGTTTGCCATGGCACCCGCGATACAGAGTTTAACTAGTACGGGGTTATGTGTGTGTACGCGTTTATTGAATTGCATTGTAATTTGGACGCATTACTTTAAGAACAGGTAAAAACCAGTGTGTAAATATGAAGGAAATGTGATGTGAAATCAGCCTGCAAAATTTGTATATACAATACATCTTTTGCATTTCAGTAACTTTGTGCTTTAAGATACGAGTTTGAGAAAGTAAGGCGACGTTATGTTACATAAGTTACCATTGGTATAATAAAGCCACATGTGATCATACTTCAAACGTACTTTTATCAAATAAACGTCGTACGACACAAACTACATGAAACAAATTATGTGTCTAATGGGTGACGGTTTTTTTTTATAATATCAAGTGACGGGACTAGCGATGAAAGAGATTCAGCCTTTTAAGGAGTTTTATAACGACTCGACTCCATTTTACAGGACTCGACTCTAAAATTAAGACTGGACGTTCGAGTTTTTATTAATAAGACTCAGTCGTCATCCTAATAGACTTAAAAGACTTAAAAGTCTCAAACGATTTATACGACTTGAACGACTTAAACGCGACTTGAACGATTTAAACGACTCGAGTTATTTGTAATGGACTTATACCTATTTTATGTCTTACTAAACCCGAAGTTTATAAATAAAAATGACGTAGTATGTACTAAATAATCACGTTTATTTACTTATAATAAAAATTAGGATTCAAAGAGTGATGTAAGCAATAGGTTTTATAAGATTTTAAGACCTAATTATATAATGATTGCATACAATCCTTTTTCTGCGAGTAAATTAAAATAATGAAATACAACCAATATTTAAAAGTCTGGCAATCCAGTTCTAACGTGCTCTTTTTTTATTTTGTGTAATATTGGCCTGTAACCACATAATAAGTATATTATGAAGTCCTGGTACTTTTGTTTAAACTTCTAAAGAAACCCGTGCACAGTAGTGAGATACAATTTATCTGTAATACATAGAACAAATATATACTCATGGCTTGCGACTCTCGAGGCTATAAGGCGCCAATTCTGTGGTTTTAGTGAAAAGGGGTACAACTAAAAAAAGCCAACTTTACAAGGAAACGCGAAAAACACTTCACGCTGAATATCATATCTATTTTTCGCGTCTCCTTGTAAAGTTGGGTTTTTTAATTTGTGCCCCTTTTCACTGGAGCCACAGAATGTTTTAGTCGTTTTAGTCCTATAAGTCCTATAATTCGACTCGAATTTGTCTTCAGTTTTAGCCTTATGACTCAAGACTTGAAGGCTAAAAGACTAGACTAGTCGCGAGGCGTTAAAAATTAGTCGAGGTTTTTTAAAAGGCCTTAAAAGACTGAGTTTATTTCATCGCTGGACGGGACGAACAAGTCATGCGCCTGATGATAAGCTACACTGTCAGCCTGTCTATAACAGTTGCAGTGTCACTCAGCTGTTTAAATCGCAAAGATCTGAGGCGCACTGCCACTGCGCCCATCATCCTGAGACGTAAGTTGACAAGTCCCATGTGCCTGTAATTTCACCAGCACCATTACCCTTCAAAACCGGAACACACTACTTACTGCTGACATAATGTCAGCTTGGCGGCAGAAATAGATAAGGTGGCATTACTTCCCTGGACAAACCCTTTCACAAGGAGGTCTACTGCTACTAGAACTGCTATTAGTTTATAACTCTTCTATTGAAGCATAAAAAAGTTACAGATTGATTTCGTTCGTAGAATCTTTAAGCCTCGCTTCTGAAAAGTTGTCATTTTGCAGATGTGGCCTTATTACATCCAGGGTGTGATATAAGTATAATTATGCATGCTTAATACAAGAAAAAATATCATTAAAGTAATATTAATGATTATTTTTTCTGTTACCAACATGTTTGCTTTATAAAAAGTTCTTCTTTATATTTAAGGTGAAATTACAAGCACATGAGTCTTTTCAACTTATGTCTAAGAGTAACGGGCGCAGGGACTCACCACATTTATTCACACGGAATCGCATTAAGCCGGTCAAAAAAACCTTTATGCCCATGAAATAAGAGCGAAAAAGGCGTTGCGTGTTTCGCTTCAGCTCGGATCGCCGATGCGAAATGCACAACGTCATTTTCGCTCTTATACATGAACTTAAAGATTTTTCTGACTGACTTAATGCGAGCAAATCCGTGTCGATAAGTGTGTGTCGAATCTCTTAATTTTATTTCTTACTGTGTATTATTGTGTTGTGGCGTTATGTATATAAATGGATTCTATTCTATTCTATTCTATTCTATTCTATTCTATTCTACTCTACTCTACTCTACTCTACTCTACTCTACTCTACTCTACTC